CTCCTCTCTGTGGGAGGAAGAGGCAGGAGCAAGCAGCTGGTAGCCCAGCTCATGGCAGTGGGACACACATCAGTCTGTAACTAACGAGCTTTCCCTCTGGCAGGCAGCACCAGCACTGACTGGGGTCTTCTTGCCTGTGATTTTCTAGGTTAAAATGAAGAAGGAATACCAGCAGAAGAAGCTGGAGAAGGTCACCAGCTCCCGCAAGCCCAGCATCACCCTCAGTGCCTACCAGAGCAAGTGCATCCAGACTGTCCTGAAGGAAGAGTAAGTTCAAGCTGGGATCCTCCTGTGAATCCCAGCCCTCACCCAAGTGCTGCTCTCCAGGTTTCTGGGGTGGAACTGAACCTCTCTGCTGCATCAGGGGCTGGCTGATGCACCAGCTGGAGCTCGTGGAGATGGGCTGAAGCAAAATGTGCAGCTTGTGAGCACAGAAGGGACCATATCACTATTAATTATTACTATTATTACTGTCATTAAAGTCTTGTTCTGCCCTCCCAGCAGCCTGTGCCCAGCCTGTTGTTAACAGACTCCCTTTCAGCACTGCTCCCATTCTCTGCTTCTACCAGATGAACTGTTTCCCTGCCTCACTACTTTTAAAGCTGTTGACTTTGGATTTATTCTTCTTCCAGGGGAGACCAGATAAGGGAAATGGTGAAACAGATCAACGACGTCAGAAGCCACATGAACTTCTGAGGTGCCCACCAGAAGGCTGGATGAGCTTGAACATTCCCTGGCGTTTCCCCCTGAGTGTTTAACATTCCTGTGTTGGAACAACAGCCCTTTTACTTTTGTTTTGTAAAGATGGACTGTGAAATAAAACAGTTTTGTTGTTACAGCTCCTTCCGTGCTGTGTTTTTCTTTCTTTTTTCCTGGGAAGGAGACTGGGCAGAAGTTCTGTGAACCTTGAGCAGTGCTCACAGCTAGCTTGGGGGGGTGGGGTTGCTCCTTCCCCCTCAGGATTACTCTGGGAGCCTCCTCCTGGGCTGTGGTCACACTGCAGGGGGGGCTGGGCCAGGGGGCAGAGTAGAAAGACCAGAGAAGAGCAGACACAGCAGCAGCCTTTTTTTTTTAGTTTGTGTTTTTTTTCTTTTTAATTTGGAACACTTTCTTCATAAAGGACACACCTTCAATACAGTTAACAAATGGTTACACTTGAATCCTGTAGACAGCAGAATTCCACACCCACAATTGCACAGGACACCCATGGCTTGGGTCACTGGAATGCAGTTTCCACTCCCCCACGCTCCCTTTGCCTTTACCCAGAGACCACCTTGGCATTAAAAGGCCAATTAATTATTTAATCTGCTGTAGACAAACCTCAGTGGACAATAAATGACCTGTCCCCACCCCTCAGAAAAGGCACCACAGTCAAGCTCAGCTTTGCCAAGTGGTAACTGCACTGCTACAGAGGTGGCACGGGCAGGGGTGCCAGCGCCAGGGAGGGAGGGAGGGGAGGGCTCGTGGGACCTGCTGGGCCACAGGGTTGCCAGACATGCTGCAAGAACACTTGGATTTTTGTACAGATTAAGACTATACAGGAACAGGAATGCATACAGAGCTCCAGCTCGTCCCCTCTACAGTCTGCACGGGCAGAATCCAGCCTCCTAATGCACTCACCCAGCGTCTCGCAGCTGCACCACCCCCTCAGGAGTTAGTGATGCCTGTTAAGACTCTTCCCAAGCGAGGAGAACCTGCCACCCAACTCAACCCAAGCTCCAGAACACCAAGGACTGGAGGGACCAGAGTTTTTCTGAGCACTAACCCCACCCTAACCCCTCCAGTGACTCCCTACACCCCCAGCTTTTCCTGCGCTTGCTTTACAGCATTGAACGTTTGCTCTCCCTTTGGCACGTGCTGGTTTGGTCTGTTTTTAAAGGCCCCTTTGTTGCTGAAGTGTGAGTGCAGCAGAAGCTCGCCTCGCTGCCGAGGCTGTGCTGCTGGGGGTTGGCAGGACAGCTGGTCGTGGGCACAGCTCCCCCCACTGCAGTGGACAGCTTAAAATGAAAAGACTCTCGCACTGGTTGGTGAGATCCCTCGTGTTCCAGCTCTACGATGCTCACAGCTCCTACTTCACCAGGAGTGAAGGTGCCAGAACCAGGTGGTGAGGAGGAACCCCAGCCCACAGCAGCTGTCCACCCTTCCCTTCCTCTCCACACCACAAGCTCCTTCCCTGCTTTAAGGGCAGAGGAGCCAGCAGGCAGCACCAGCCCTTCAGCTGAGCCCTCGCCCCCATCCCCTTCCTGCCTCCAGCCCCAGGCTCTGTCCACTGAGAGAAGCACAGAGCATGCACACGAGCACACACACACACATGCACAACTCCACTCAGCAACTGCCCTATGCCTGGGAACAGCCCCCAGCCCAGCCAGCCCAGCAAGGGCCCTTCCCCTGTGTGCAACAGGAGGACAGTCCAGAAACTCCACCAAAACCCCTTTTTTTCCCCTGTGTAAATCCCCAGGAGCAGCTCCTCAGGGGTTCAGCTCGCTGAAGAGCTGTGCAGGACGGGTTCTGGTTTTGCCCTACAACACCAGGCTCCCCAAAATACAGGTCAAGTCTCAGTAACCAGCTACGAGTTAGTTTTTGGGGAGGAAGGGAACACAGAAAAAAAGCTTTTCATTCTGCAGCTCCTAACCAAGGCCTCCAATTTTTTTCTCTGCCTAACCCTCGAAAAACTGAACACCAAACATCTGGTACTGGATTTACCTGTCAGGAGGCAGCTGCTGTCACCTCCCCGAGCAGCAAATGGTGAGAAACTTTAGAAACCCCAAAATCTGCTACTGGCCGATTAACATAGAACCTAAGCTGCATTTCCATTTCACTTTTAAGTGAAATTGTCACCTTAAGATGACAACTCTGCCATTAGTCATTCCTAGGGGAGGGAAAAGAGCCTTTGGGTGTCAGGGTTATGAAAGGAATTAGTTGTTAGGGTGAATAAAATGCTTTGATTCTTGCAATGAATGAGAAGGAATTGAGCTCTCTTTTTAAGGCATTCCTCCTCCAGCCCACTGGTTCCACCTTTAGGTTAGCAGCAGGATACACACTGCTAAAAATAGGATTTAAGCACTTAAAATATAGTCAGTTTGGAGCATTTTTTGTCCCTTTGGGATCTTCAGATCTATGGCCAAGTATCTAAAGAAGAAACAAGCAGTGGAGGCAAGTCCAAGTTACAAGCTCTGGACGTGGTGATCTGCTCCTCCAGCCTCCTTTCTTTTAATTGAGTGGTGAGCAGGGGCCAGCTCAAGAACCTGGTTTGCACCACCAGAGTTATCACCCCCTGTAACCATACCCACCACCAAATGCCACCTTGTGCCACCAGTGGGCACAAGGAGGAGCAGGAGGAGGGATGGTCACGTCACCTCCACACACCCGCAGAAGGAAACCCCCGAACCCAGCACCCCAATCACCCCAATTCCTGCCCCTGCTGTCTGGAGTTTCAACACCCAGGGCAGGGCAGGAGGCAGCCCTGAGCACCACCCCACTGCAGAGGGGATGCTCTGAACCCCCCAGCCCAGCCCAGCCCAGCAGAGGGACCCAGCTCCTCCGTGGCTGTGCCCTGGGACCAGCACCTCAGCTGGACCCCTCCAGGCAAAGCTGGCAGCTCCAACCACACGCCAGCCACCAGAGCAAAGCAGACCTGCAGAAACCCCAGACAATGCACTGTGGCCTCACCAGCTGCCTGTTGCTGTTGTTGTTGTTTCACCTTTTTTTCTTTTCCACAGCAAAGGGATCTACAGGTACTGCTCAGCTTCAGAGATGAGAACGAACCGGTTGCAGCTCCACAGTCTACACGACATTTGTGAAAAGAGGTTACAAAACAGTCCATTTCTTGTGCTTTTCTTGAAGTTCTCAGAATGAAAAGGAAAAATTTCAAGGAGCTAAATTCTCAGTACATATTTTTTTTTTTTTTTTTTTTTTTTTTTTTTTTTTTTTTTTTTTTTTTTTTTTTTTTTTTTGGATTAGGATTTCTCTGTCCAGGAGACACAACAGCTCCCTCGTGTCCACCACATTTCAGCAGCATTCAGGATTCTTCAACAGGAAGTCAATGGTAATTTTAAAGAAAAAAAAAAAAAAAATAAAGTACTGAGTTATGAAATAAGATCAATATCCAGTGTCCTGCTAATAAAGTCATATTTTAATATAAAATATTCATACAGCATACTCTACACCTCATTCTCTCTGCTAGCTGAATACTGTTACTGACTATTCAAACAGAAAAACTTCAACCACTTTGCTCTTCAATGTTTTGGAGGGACAATATGGTTTCCAGCAGCTAATTTGATCACAGTAGTAGGGGGGGGAAAGGAAAGAGGGAAAGACAAGGGGTAAAACGTTCCAAAACTCTAGATTAGGTTAGGGAGTCGGCTGAAAGAGGGGAAGTTTTTCAGAAGGTGGGGACTGATCCCACTCGGTGGAACACGACAACACCGCCCTCGTTAGTGTTCCCATTAGAGAGTTCTTCCCACACTGCAAGTCACCCTCGTGCTCTCTTCCTGCCCAGTGCCAAACCTTTTTTCCCCCTCTAGAAACAAAACTTAAAAAGTCCTGGCTCCCCTCTCGTTGTCTTCTGCTCTTTTCGGTTAGAGTTAAATAATTAAGGTTGCTCTAAAGATGAGTTAAAAGCCCCAGGGCAGGAGCCCTGCAGGGGGTCATGTCTCGGGGAGCTGGTTAATGTCCGTCAGGTTGGTGTCGTTGAGGATGGCCCGGATCCTCTCCAGGGAGTCTGCCTGCCTGATCCTCTCCAGCTGCACCTGCAGGGAACCACCACAGAGCTGCTCAGCCCCTCAGGAACAGACCCACCACCCACCCACAGAGCTGCTCAGCCCCTCAGGAACAGACCCACCACCCACCCACAGAGCTGCTCAGCCCCTCAGGAACAGACCCACCACCCACCCACAGAGCTGCTCAGCCCCTCAGGAACAGACCCACCACCCACCCACAGAGCTGCTCAGCCCCTCAGGAACAGACCCACCACCCACCCACAGAGCTGCTCAGCCCCTCAGGAACAGACCCACCACCCACCCACAGAGCTGCTCAGCCCCTCAGGAACAGACCCACCACCCACCCACAGAGCTGCTCAGCCCCTCAGGAACAGACCCACCACCCACCCACAGAGCTGCTCAGCCCCTCAGGAACAGACCCACCACCCACCCACAGAGCTGCTCAGCCCCTCAGGAACAGACCCACCACCCACCCACAGAGCTGCTCAGCCCCTCAGGAACAGACCCACCACCCACCCACAGAGCTGCTCAGCCCCTCAGGAACAGACCCACCACCCACCCACAGAGCTGCTCAGCCCCTCAGGAACAGACCCACCACCCACCCACAGAGCTGCTCAGCCCCTCAGGAACAGACCCACCACCCACCCACAGAGCTGCTCAGCCCCTCAGGAACAGACCCACCACCCACCCACAGAGCTGCTCAGCCCCTCAGGAACAGACCCACCACCCACCCACAGAGCTGCTCAGCCCCCCAGCACAGACCCAACATCCACCAACAGAGCTGCTCAGACCCCCAGGGCACAGACCCACCACCAGGATCTGGCCCCTGGAGCCTGTGTGAGCAGCAGAGCACCCCTGCCTGGGATGTGCAAGGGGTGAAGGGGCACCAGCCTCAGTCAGAGCCAAGGATGGGAGGACAAGGATGTGAGGTGGCTGTGTTTGCACACTAAAAAGCCACTGTCTGGGTGGCCATTGTCACCCCATGCTGTGCCTGATGCCAGCCCCTGACACCACGCTGGCCAGGGGGACTGGGGACATGGGTGAGGTGATGGAAATGTTCACAGAAAGAACACCATGAAGTGCAGCCCTGCCCAGCACACCTGCAGCCCTCTCAGCACCAGAGCTCCAGGCTCCTGGAGGACACATCCCATCCCCAAGCTCACTCCTGTCACCTGCTTTCCCCACTATCCATCTGAAGCTTTTTCTTACATGCTGAACAAGTGCCCAGCAGCACAGTGTTGAAATGAATGCAGAGACTCATTCTTACTTTTCTTTTTTTCCTCCTTTTTCATTCAAACTTTCATGTTCTTTGCATTAGGATCTGGGCTTTCAGTTCTAAGCTCCCAGCTAGTGATTCATTGATTTTTAGCCCTTCCTCCCTATTGCTGATACCAGTGGACACCTCACCACAAGGCCAGAGGAGGACAGGACCCTGCCTGGCTATGGAGAGACCCAAATCCTCATGGGGTTCACCTCTGGACCCTGTGCTGCCTGTGGTGGAGATAACAAAAACCACTGTCTCAGCTGAAAGCACCAAGTGCTGAGAGCCCAATGTGCCCCACTGCTCAGGGGCAGAAAGAAAACACACCACAGAGCTCCCACACTGCTGCTGAGCTCACTGCTCAACTACCTGCAAGCTCTGGAAGAGACCTTCAAAGCAGTGCATGGTTTGGACTCCAAGAACTGCACAAACAAGTGCATGCAGGACTTCAAAAAAAGAGGATGCTGGCAAACAAGAAGCAGCTTCACTAGCTAGGACAATTCAACAGTCTCCTTTGTCCTGTGGACTCCTCCAGAAACAGGCAGAGCAAAAGAGGACAGTTGCTTATTGTCCACCCAGCTAAACTAACAAACAATATCCTACATTCCTGTTTTAGCTTTCCAAACAAACCTGGACACTTGACTCAAAGAATGTGTATTCTGAATTCTGCTGAATTTCACTGTCACATATTCATATCAAACAGCACAAGTTCCTTACTCTGTCCTCAAGTGTTTGCACCCTAATGATTTGCTATGAAAGCAACATACTGGAAAAACAACAGGAGATGGACAACAGAACACTAAAGGTACCATCATTTATGGCTCCTTTTAGTACAATAATTGTCTATCTTTGCTGCTGAGGATTGGTTGGAATCAAGTAATCACAGTAAAAGCCCCAACAGGCTTTAATGCTGACATTATACTAGGAACACTTGATCAGTTTATTATACCAGTTACTTTCAAATTAGAAATACCCACATGAGAGAATGTACAACTGCAACTTCTGATTTTACACAGCTCTGGAGAAGTAAAGAAACAAAAGCAGCACTTTACAAGCTGATTGCATTCCCCTTACCTGAAGTGTCTGAGAAAGCTTTACAAAATCTCTCTGCACTTGCTCACTGACATCTAATTCAGTCTGCAGTCGCTGAGCTTTATTCTTCTCTTCAAATACCAGCTGTTCAAGGTTTGCCTGAAGAGAAAAAGATTCTTTAGGCTATGCTTAAACTAAAACAGAAGAAAAAAAAAGGGAGAAGCTTAAATAAACTGATTAAAGCATGATACTAGAGCAAAGAAGCCTGGTAGCCTGGTTCTTCCCAGAGTCCAGACAAGGAATGAAACCAAACACTGTTTCTACACCTCAGTTTTCCCAACTGCAAAATCAGAGGCTAACACCAAGATCCTCATTAGACTGGTGAAAGAATAAAAAAGCCTCTTTAACATGTCTAAAGATCTCTAAAAACACAGATTGCCAAGTTTTAATGAAATGTGACCAAAGCCTGAGGTAGTACCACCACCTCAGCAGAGGACACTGTCTCACTGCCAGACTCCTACCAACACTCACAGGCTTCAATCTTCCCCCCTGTGCAGTGACATGTTCTCTGATCATGGTTTGATCCCCACAACAGACACACTTGTGCTTCACACCCAGACACCAGAGCTACCTTTGCTGCAGTCTCCTTCTTCAGCTGCTCTTCTAGAGTGGTTTTTGTCTCCTGCAGACTCTCCAGCTGCTGCAGGTTTTCCTGCGAAGAACTTTCCAACTATATAATAAAAATAATAATAAAAAAGTGTTAATTAAACCTCCTGATGTTTCCATTTCTTCCAGCAGCTCCTTACAAGAAGTACAGCCTAAGTATAATCCCCAGGACTCAGAAATGCACCTGAATAATGTCTCCTAGGGGCAGAGAAAACACCTAAATAACATCTCTTTCTATTTATTCTTTTTTGGAGCTGGAGAGAAACATCCAAACCTGACATTTAGGTTATTGTTAGGTAGCCTAATATCAGTTAGGAATTAGTCAGCCCAGTATTTGGGTTACAGATCAATAAACAGACAAAATATCTTCAAAGGAAGAGAACCATGAGCAGTCCTACAGTCCTACACCCCCCCCAGCTCCAGGCACACCCCTGCCTGTCTCCTCTGGCACAGTCAGAGCAGTGACACAGATGCAGTGACCCCACAGGAGCATCTACACTCTTGGAAGACACCAAACTGTAGCCTGAGAGTGCCCAGTACAGTGTCAGGGCAAACACAGAGTGGTGTTCCTGCTGCTTATCTCCCCAGGAGCCAGCCTCCAGCACCCCACATGTCTACAAGGTAAGGAACAGCAACACTGCATCTTTCAGGACTTTCCTTAGCTCAGATCTTCCCCTCCCAACACTGGGCACACTAAACATCACACAATAACATCTCTCAAGTGTCACTGCCACCTCAAAGGCTGGTGGGAAAATTCATTTTCCCTTGATATGAAGAGGTTGATGTTGAAGACAGCAACACAGTGTCACTCATAAAACTAGCACAGAAAAAAAATCTTAGTCTAAAAAAACACAAAGCCACAAAAACCCCTTGGTGAAAGGGCTCCTTACCTGTTCCTTTTCCACTTTTATTCTTTCCAGTTCAGCTTTTAAACTGGAAATGGAAGCTGAAAATCAAGAATATTAAAGGTTAAATGCAAGAAAACCACAGGGAGGTGGATGCACCCTGTTCACTTCTGTTAATATTTAAAGGAGAATTAAGCATGTGCTAACATGAAAGGTACCTTAAAGGTGAACAATTAATTGCAGTTGTTTTCAGCTACACAGCTTTAGTGTAGCTGCTACCAAAAAATGGACAGTATTTAAAATTTAGAGAAGTATTTATCACAAAATCAAGTCTTCACTTATCTTTCTATTTTCTAATATACCTATTTTGGGACAGTTTTACCCCTGCTCACCTATTTCTTCTTTGCAATTCTCTATTTCCAGCTGTAGAGTTTCTTCTATATTTTCTTTCAAATATTGTTCAGCTTGAATCTGTTCTTTTAAGAATAATATCTCTGCCTTGAGCTTCTCCTCCAGGTGATCTGCTGCTGTCCTCACACTAATGATGTCTTCACGGTATTTTAGAATCAGCTCACGGAGCTCCTGAAGGAAGGATCAGGAAAGATTTGGATTAGGATCATGCTCCTGCAGCACTGTATTTATCAGCATATAAGCCAAGGTTCTGCTGCTCTGGGGTTTGTCCCCACAGGTCTCAAGGTATAAAAACAGAATCACAGTTTGCTTGGCCATAGTCAAGGAAGAATGTTGAAGATTTGTGTCTCCACAGGCTCGTGACCCTTCACCCCCCACAACTTTTCCAGCTTGACATGCTTGAGCATAAGGGAGTGGCCAGGAAAAGGTTGGCAAGATTTAACATTATTACTGGTCTTAACTGGACAGAAATTAGAGTGACTGATTTAGCTCAGTTTATTGAATCAATATCTACATTGGAGCCATGCTGACCAAACACTTGTGTGTCCAGTTGGAAAATGCAACTTGAGCCAGTTGGACTGGAATAAAGCCCAGCTCTACTGACAACACAGCAGTCAGGCCACAGTTAACTCCTTTTATTATCATCTACCCACACCCTGAAGCTGCTCATGGCACAGTGGTCCCACTGCTGACTCTGTACATCACAGACTCACAGGGTTAAAAATCCAGATTATTGTTCATTGCTCTGTTTGAGTCAGTGTTTCATAAAGAAGATTTTTTCCAGCAAGATCTAGTTAATTTGTGTTAATGGTTTAAAGATGTTTTACCTCTGCTGCTTCTGGTAGAACAAAATCTTCAGCTTGCTGTAAAGACACATGCAAACTATGTTTGCCTTGAAGACTTTCATTATCTTTTTGGAGTCTCACCAACTCTTCTGAAACCTGCTCCCTTGACTGTGTCAGGACAGCCTTTGAGACAAAGACAAGAACAAATTCTCACTTAGGGTCATGCTCAGATCTCTCCATGCCCCATTTACCATTGCTGCTTTCAAAAGCCTGGTGCACTGATATTCTTTGTATAGAAAGGAAACAAAATCATTGTGTGGATCAACACAACCAGTTCTCTCTTGCCTGGGCTATGCACCAGAAATAAAGGCAAGAGCAATCTTAGCTGTACAGGCAGATAGGAGGAAGCAAGTGCTAAATCCAGCATTGTTAGTCTCCCATTTCTTCCATATTTACCCATTGAATAACTGTGCTCATGGTTCATTGATCAGATCAAGCATTAGATCAAGATTCTACAATCTTGATTTTAATACAGAGGGGAATAAATTGCCCCAGAGAAGTTAGACTTTGTTCTGCCCTAGAAAATGAGGCCCTATGGCTATTCTCTGGCTTAATTCCTACAAGATTCTCAAAATAATAATAATTTTTTAAAAGCAAGTTCCCATCCATACCTCTTCCTGAGTGTTAGGGCTGATATTTTGACATCTAAAAACATTGAGGATTTCTCTCTAAGGCTCAAGACAACATTCACTAGTGCTTGGGACAAATCCTAGCAAACTGTCTTGAGAAAATCTATCCTGCCTTCAGATTTCAGGTGCAGTAAGACCCCAAGCAGGCATGGAATGTCATCTCCACACTAAGATGCATTCACAGGAAGAGTGCCAGGCTGACCCTCCAAGCTGCTCCAGGGCCAGCACTGGCTCCCAGAGCTCCCTTCACACGTTCAGGTGCATAGCTCCTTCCAGCCAGACAAAGCCTCTCACAGACACACTCACTCCAAAGGTTAGACAAACACAGCTCTTCAGGTGACCCCCACGCCTCAGGCCTCTTACCATTTGCTCCTGAACACTCCTCTTTGCTTGAGAAAATGCCTGCTGCAGGTCACCCAGGAAGTTCTCTGACTTTTGACATTTAGCCATCAGCAAAGAGATCTGAAAAAAAGAAAGAAAACCCACACAGAGGAAGATGGAGAGCCTGAAAGAGATTCTGAAGAAGAAATAACCATTGATGTTCACCTGCCTGTTGTCATTACTCATACACACTTTGACATTTCAGACTCATCCACTAAAGTTTATTCTGTTAACACTGAACTTATCAAAGTGGTAAAGCAGCTCAGGTCACTAAGGAGATGCTGTGGCATTTTCTGTTGTGATTTCTGTACCAATAATATACTTATATTTAATTTTACAGACTCTAAACAACAAATAAACTGTTCATTCCAGTCAAATGTTAATGTAAGTCAGCTCAGAAGGGAAAGTGCAGAGCAATAGCTCTGGGTAATAACCAATATTTTCAGCATTTTCTTTAATGTAAAGTAATTTTTTGTACCTTTCCCTGAAAGCACAGATCTTCAGAACCTACAGAATTAAGTTCTGCTACAACACCACATGATGAACAGTAACATTAAGCATATCTTAATTAAAAGCACCCTGGTACAACCAAAAGAACAAATGTATAAACATACTTCTGTCATCCAAAACAGACTTTGTCTCATGATTACAATTTCCTTAGTAAGAATAAAAGAGTGGGTGGGAAGAGAGAAAGTCTTCCAGCCTGAGAATTAAATTCAGTGTCTTCTACACAGCAGCTACCTAACATTGTCATTTTTAATAGGCCAAAGATGATGAGGTGGTTTTGTGTTTGTTTTTTTTTAAAGATATGGCAAGCACACATCCTATTTGGCTCCAATCTCCCAGGAGAGTTATGTACACATCTCAGATTGAGAAGTCTTCTCACTGGGTTATTTTTTTAAGGAATTTTAATGTTTATTTTGGATCAACTACTGTTACTGCCTGCTCAGCTACTCATTAACTGTATGTCTTCACCACAAGTCCATGAGCTGGGTGTCAAGTGTTGATGAGAAGAAATGGTGTGTCCACTGACAAGGACTGACCAAGAACACAGGGCTACTTTTGCATGTTTTCATATACAAGTCAAAAAAAACCCTCAAATGCTCCTCAAATTCCAGTTACCACCTCACTAGCAGATTTCCAGATTAAATTTTAGGGTCAGAATTGGCTAACATGATATTAGATACATGTCAGACTCCTCTAGAAACTGTGGCAGACTCAGTGGAGGGTGACTGACCCTAGAAATGCTCATTTTTGTTGCCTCTACAGCAGGTGCCTAACAGGAGATGAGGATTGTTGTTACACACTTTTGAACAGCACTTCCCAATTCCCACCACCTCAGTTACAAAATGCTTGTACCTGATTAGAAGAGTCTTCAGCACTTTGTTTCATGTAATCCTCCAACTCCTGTTTCTCTTTTGTTGTCTTTTCCAGCTGGTCATTGGCCTGTCTCAGCATCACCTGCAGCTTCTTCACCTGGGTTGTTGCAGCACAAAGATTTCATTTGCCATTCTTTGGGGAGCATTTATTTCCTGAACACAAATACAACCTACCCACAAACCAAAATCCCTCCAAACCCTACGTGAGGCAGAAGTTCCTCTGTTGTTCTTCTCAAACACCTATTAAGGACACATGGGACATCAAACTGCACTGGCCCATTGCCATGCAATGACTTCAATCATTTATTCCAAAACAGAACGTGACTCATGCCTTCTGTACCCATCTGAAAATTGTAGATGGCAGGAAACAAACATCCTCCAATCCTTTACAGTCATTTTATGCTGCTGGGATGAGGGCCTCTCATTTTTCCTTTGCTGTTAAGAACTCTTGCAGCAGCAAAGACAACAGAATTTAGTGCACGACAAGCATTTTAGAATATAAATTATGAAGGATACTGACTTCAGCATGAGCACAACACTTTTTAGAGAAGAGTGCCTTTACAACATGGTCTGATAGCACTGGAGAAAGCAGTTCTCCAAGGGGAATCCTTAAGAAATATGTACATGTGTTGCTCATGATGACATATCAGTAACAAATCCAGTTATGTCAATGAAACAGAAGTTATCCAGATTTTAAGCACGCCAAGATTGTTCAATTAAAACCAAGGAATAAACCAGCAGATGGTTCACTGCATCCTTCATTCAAATAGCTGCAGACATCTTGCTAAAGCTAGAAAAGAAATCCCACCTGGTCTCTTGTCTCAGCCTCTTGAATCTGGATGCCTTGCAACTGCTTCTCATAATTGGAGCACATATCACAGCGTCTCCCCAGCTTGTTCCCTGCGTTCTGCACCTGCAGGACACAGAGGTCACCTGCCACCAGTGCTGCAAGGCTTGCAGGAGAGCTACATCCTCCTGGGTGTGGCAGGATCACAGAACATCACAGATAAAAGGCAGTGGCAGAATCATCTACTGGCAAGACTGAGCTGCTCTAAAAGTAAAGGGTAGTGTAACTGGGCTGTGGGCTCTGAGCTTCTCCTGGCACCAGTCCCACTGGCAGCACACAAGCACTGAGCCACGACGTGCAGGAGTTCATCAAGTCCCTCAGCTTGTCCTTCTGACAGGGGTTATTTAATTACCTGTGCAGAAGATGGCATCTCAGGGGAAAGCTTTCAACAGGCCATGGCATTTTTTTCAGGTAATTATTTTGTATTACAAATCAAATTATAAACAGTACTACAGGGTTTGGTCAGGGTTTTTTTTTGTTTGGTTTGGAGTCATTTTTGTGTGTGATGGTTTGTCTTTTTTTGTCTTGGTGGGTGTTTTTAGTTGTTTTTTTTTTCTAAATCAACACAAAGCAACTAAAAAGCAAGTCAGTTCATCAGGTCAGGACTTCCTTAAGCCCTTTTCCTCCTGTAACTGAGCTTTGAATATTTTTGAATGGCAAACACTCATTTTGTTCTGTAACAGGCATCAAGCTCCATTTACTTTTTAATATCCTCCTCCAACAGTGCTCAGTATCAGAGGCTGAATAATCAGCTAGAAGAACAATTGGGAAAGAATTAAGTAAAACACAGGTGGCATTAAAGAGAAAAAAAAGAAAAAGAAAACCAAACCAAAACCCATCAAACAGGAGAGTTAAAAAAAACCCTGTTGGGTCATGCAGCAGGGAAACAAGGAGCAAACCAGCTGCCATTATTTGTAATGGATTTGGCCAAGGGGACAGACTGAAGCTTTATCAAAGCTCCAGCTGCAAGGCAGGTCCCAGCCATGCAGAGGAGCATTCACACCCCTGCCCGTGCTCCTGCCTCCAGTAACACAAGGGAAGCAGCACTCTGCTTTTCAGAATTCTAAAAAAAGGCTGGAGTCAGTGGCATTGGAATGTCAACAGGGCAAGGAAAGACTCGAGAGTGGGGGATTTAACTGGGCTCTGAGATTACATTGTAATTTCTCCAGATACTACAAATAAGTAGCAACACCAAAAAAATAAGTAACTTTACAACAGGCTTGGAGAGCCCCCCCTAAGTAATGACTTACAGGTAACCTGAATTTCAACACGTTGAGGAAATAAAGTATCACTAGTTCTTCCTTTCATCTATCCCTTGCCTGCCCTCTGCTCTTTCACTGCATACTTACATGCCCTTTTTTTATGCCCATCTTTCCTTCTTTTTCTCCTATTAGGGATTGTTATCACCCCCCACCTTTTCTCCCCCCTGAAGTGTTGCTCCTTGGCCTCTCCTTTTCTGAAGGAGTA